GCCGGCCCCTCCCCCCACGGTCTTCCCATTGCTTCGGATTCACGTCTCCGCACATCCTGCCTTCCAGAAAGTGGTCGCTTTTCTGTTCCTAGAACTGCTGCTCTTTTCGATCTCCTGTTGCATTTGTAGGTGTTCAGGATCGTTTGATAAGTATCTAGCTGAATTCCTAGAAACAGAAGAGATGTAAGTCTGCCACTTCTCTGCCATCCTGCTCCTCCCCCTTGTTTTTGATGTACATTTTATGTAGGATCAGCTTTTCCTTAGTGCTGCTGCATTTACTAGGATCGTCCCCATGCCACAGGAGAGACTTAGCCATGTACCTTCCAGTGATAGGAGGAGGGGCCCGGCATCACAGGAGCTAGGAAGAACTCCTGATTGCATTGTAAAGAATTACACGGATGTTGTTGGGTGAGGCAGGGCCTGGACGTGGGGAGAGAGTCCATGTGGCTCTGAGAGTAATTGGAATGTTCTGGGTCATGGGGCATGCGGACTCGGTGGGGCAGGGTGCGGTTGTAAACTGATCCCGGTCAAGCAGCAGTTACACGCAGCATGTGACTGCGAGCGATGGCAGGGTGCCTGTTGCACATGAGGGTGCAGATCATGCTTTCGTCTTTCCCACGGCAAATGAGAGAAGAGGAGTAAATGCATGAGGAACATTTTTGGTAAAAATCTTTGCAAGAGGGATTTTCGCTGGACTTTGAACCAATGGGGAAATCCAGTTTCCATCCGTTAACAGGGAAGGATGCCGTTCACCAGACTGACAACACTTGTAAGCATACCTCATCTTCTGTCGTCCCCGAATAGGAGACACTGGGTGCTGGGGGAGCGGAATGACGTGTGCACGGCGGTCAGCACCCGGGCTCCTGTTTCGATTCTGCTACCAGATGCTGTGCCTGGGACACACAGGCACACACGTTTGCATGTGCGTGTGCATGCATGTCTGTGTGTGCATATATGTGTGTATGGTATACAGTTGACCCTCGCACAACACAGTAGTGAAGAGGTGTCAACTCGCCGTGCAGCTGGAAATCAGAGTCGAGCTCTGAGCTCCCAGAATGTAACTGCAGGCAGCCTGCTGCTGACTAGGAGCCTCACTGATAACGTACACCATCGATCAGCACGTGTTTCGTATGTCCTGCGTATTATATACTGTATCATTGCAAAAGGGAAGCTAGAGAAATAAAATGTTACTCGGAAAACCGTAAGGAAGAGGAGATGCTTTTATGGCCCTTGCTGTATTTATTGTAAAAACCTCATGCATCCGTGGATGTGTGTAGTTCAAACCCGTGTTACTCAACGGTCAACTGTATATATGTGTGTGAGTGTGTGTCTGTGTGTGCGTCTGTGTGTTTGTGTGTGTGTGTGTATACCGTAGCTCTGCTAAGTCTTAGAAACACAGTATGCGTCTACGGCCATACCACCCTGAACGCACCCGATCTCGTCTGATCTCGGAAGCTAAGCAGGCTTGGGCCTGGTTAGTACTTGGATGGGAGAAACACAGTGTGCCCGTAACCCAAGCGGGTTTTACTTGTGTGCATCCCCAGTACAACGTGCCCAGCATGGGGGAAATGATGGCTCTTTTCCCTGTCCCTAGGGTGGATACATTTTCAAGTGTGACTGTGCAGCAGTGTCTTTGGAGATTAAGCCCCGTGTTGATCTCTGGGGAGTGAAGCTGTCAGGGTTGCCCGTATGGATGGAACCACAAGTAGGTTATAAAACATCCATTAATGAATGCACGAGACTCGGTTGTCATGAGCAAACGAGGGATTAGCACTTGGTCCAAACCCAGGGATGCCAAGCGACCCGTGTCCTACGAATTATCTTAGTAGTTCCTCAGCTCCGCCACTTACGTCTCTGAGGCTAGCGTGTAAACATGACTAACCCGATGAGAAGCCTCATTCAGTGTATACCGTCGATGATGTCTTCGAGGGAGAACCACCCGGTTCCTTGTGAGTGTTCACACTTGGTACAAGCCATTCAGGGATCTCTCCAGCAAGGATCCATCCTTCTGATCAGGACGTCTGGAACGTGCGCTAAGAGTGTGTCTCCTCTTAGGAAAACATACCGTGTCCATGAAAAGCAACCTCCTAGTGTCCCTCACTACATTTCAGAAAGACCATCCCTTCGAAGCAAGGTTAGTCATTTCAGCTTCACCTCACCGCCACCGGCTCATTAGGAAGAAATACTGGGTACATCATAGGTTACATAAGCAACCACGCTCTTTCCTGAGAACCTGAGAATGATTCACGGAGGAAGCATTCTCTGAGCTCCACATGCCCTACTTGTGAGTACCATTTAACAAAGATAGGAGCCCATTCTCTACCGGGGAAGTCTTGGGCACCAGCATCTCTTGTAGAATGAAAAGATCACCAAATCCAGAATGATGACCTATTTATTTAAAGCAAATTTGATTCAATAAAATTCCAGCGCATCGTAAATGGGCCAGCCCTCAGAATTCATCCCGATATAATAGCAGCTGTCCTCAGTGAATTGAACTTTTTTTCAGCCACCGCATCCTGTTTGCCTGCTCTTTAATTGATTTCCCACAAGGCAGAAATCATAGCTTATTCACCTGTGTGTTGCACTGGAATATTTTCCGGAAAATGAGACGGCTATCTGGCCTGTGCATTCAATTCCTAATTCCTAATATATAATTCAGTGTGTAGGCCTGTACGATGATTATTTAAAACCTAAACATGCAATATTTTTCCCCCACTGCAGAAATACTGTTTTCCACTGAAGCTCACCTCCCAAAACTTCCAGCTTTCACACCGAGGGCCACACGTCATGGTTCCTCTTCTCTTTGTAGAACAGTCAAATCAGATTGCGTGGCCGGTTCCCCGGACGCCCTCAGGTTTGGTGACCTGCTAGGACGACTCCGGACACAGCACACAGTCCTAATCATGGCGCTGGTTTGTTACAGCAAAGGACACAAAGCAAATTCAGCAAAGGGAAAAAGACATGTGGGGTGATGTCTGGGGGAGTTAGGCACAGGCTTCCAGAGTCCTCTCTCCGGGAGTCACGTGGGATGCCCCGAGTTCTTCCACAATGACTCATGGCCTCACGTGTGAGTGTCATCCACTGGAGAAGCTCAGCTGAGCCTAGAAGCCCAGGGTTTTCCCTGGAGGCTGGCCACCAGGGCCCTCTGCCTGGTATGCACCGTGATTCCAGACTCCTGTGGGCATCGGGCATAAACCCCATTGTTTGTACAGACGGTTTGGGCAGCCCCTTCCCATAAGCCCAGAGCCTGGATGCTAGCCAGGGGCCTCCTTGACCATGAGCCTTTCTGGAACAGCAGCCTCGGGCCTGCTGCTGGGTCTTCTACACGATGTACTTGAAGTTGTTTGTGTGGGAAATCGTGTTCCTGAGTTTAGGGCCAGGCATGTCCCTCTCTCTCCTCTTCCCACCCCACTTGTCTCCACGCATGTATGAGGGTTCAGAGAGGGAGGGTCGGGGTCTGTGTCCGGGGCTCTGTGTCCATGTGGACACAGCAGTTTGACCTCTGAAGTTTGTCTCCTCAAACCCTCCAACCGTCTTCTCCCCGGTTCTGCTCGCCCCTGTAGCTCCTGCTGCAAAGTTCCTCATGTGCCACCCAAGGGACGAGGGGGAAAAAACCCGTCACGAACATGACTCTCAAACATGAGGCCAGTTTGCACATCAGACAGTGTGCGATGCCTTGCATATTGTATTGTACATTTGCCGTTCTTTATGTTTTTCACTTAAAACTTCTGAGAACAAATCAGGGCTCTGCTGTGACATTCCCTTTTCCTCAGCTCGTTGGGAGGGGATGACACCCCTTTCTCTTGGTAAGGAGCCTCTGGGCGTGTCGTCATCCCCCTGCCAAGGACGATGAGGAAGGAGTGAATGAATGGGTGTGTGGCCCACAGCATACTTGCCTTGGCAAATCTGTCTTTGTGTAAAGTCCGAGTGGGTGTTCGATCTCCAGACCCAGGCTGACCAGTGTGGGGTAGCAGGGAATGTGGACCTGGGTCAGCAGCTTCTGCCCCAGATGGGTGTGTGTGAGGCCAAGGGGAGCACTGGTCATGGTTTGAGCTGCGGTTTGGGGCCAGGGGACACCTGGGTCATCTGCTGCGTGACACCCAGGTCCTCCCCCTCTCAGTGGAAGCTGACCCCACGGGGGTGTGTGATACTCCAAAGTGTTGACGCTGTAACACTGGGGAAGTGCGCCTGGTGGGTGCGTGACAGTGATGCTCAGGGTGGAGGAGACAGTCAGGCTGCGTGGCAGGAGGGGCGCAGGCGTGAGTCGGCTGGGTCTGTTCAAACCTCAGCTTCTGTGTCCCTGGGGCCCCTCGTTCTGCCCTGTGCACACCTGAGGGACACAGGCAGTCCAGGTGAGACATTTGTCTGTGCCCGGCGCAGAGGGGATGATCCGGAAACACGGTGTCGGTGCTAACTTCATTCACGTGGTTTTAATTCATTTCCTTCTCCTGTTTAGTTTTCACAGTCTGGGGGTTTCCAAGAAAGTCATTGTTTAAAAAAAAGATAAAAAATGAGGCCACACATGAATGCAGCTGGATTTCTTTCTTTTTTTTTTTTTTAAGATTTATTTTTTATTTTTTATTTATTTGACAGATCACAAGTAGACAGAGAGGCAGGCAGAGAGAGACAGGAGGAGGCAGGCTCCCTGCTGAGCAGAGAGCCCGATGCGGGACTCGATCCCAGGACCCTGGGATCATGACCTGAGCCGAAGGCAGAGGCTTTAACCACTGAGCCACCCAGCGCCCCTGCAGCTGGATTTCTTTGGGCTGCAGACCGCCCGCACACCGTCCCTCGCCCCCCTGCTAGAAGTGGGAGTGACCGGGGGACAGTTAGGACAGAGCGATGGCGAGGTGCTGGCAGACACATGACTGAATCCCGTTTAAGGCGAGCTGACACCTGCCAGGTGGCCGTGTGCAGATGCGTTCCCCAAGTTCCCAGAACCAGTGGGACCCCGGGGTTCCCCAGCGCCATCTGAGCTGTGCCCTCGCTGTCTCCTACAGGGCCAAGGTGAAGAAGGGTGTGAGCGTCGTGGGGGTGAGAGCCAGCAGCCCTTCCATTTGGGAGGTCACGCAGGGCACGGACCACAGCGGCAAGTACGCACCTGCCGTCATCGTTTGCCAGAAGAAATCTGCTGGCTCGGAAAACAGGTGAGTCCCCACAGCATCCGGCGTCTCCAGACTCACTGGGACAGGGAGCTCCTTCTCCCCTCGTGTGTTAAAAACCCTTCTCACTGTGGTTTGCATGTGATGCCTCTTGTGCATGTAACTCGTGCTTCTCGGGCGGATGGATGGATTCCATCCTTCAGGAACGGTGAGCTGTACTCACGGCGGGCCTCCTCCATGGTTCAGCATCGCCGCGGGGCACCTGTGAGGGCGGTTTGGTGCAGGGGGGATTTATCTACAGATGGTCCTGCACTGCCCCCGTGCCCCACCCGCATGGGTCTGGGCATCTCTGATACTATGCCCTGTCTCGAGAGCATTACGACACCAGCCCTGTGTTTTTCTGGGCACACATGGGGTGGGATCCCCATTGGCCACGTAGACGTATGCGATTGTGTTTGTGCACACATGTTGGCTGATGAACGGCGAGCTGTCTGCTGTGCAATGATAAGGCTTTGAGCATCACTCTAGAGACAAATTAAAACTTGAATCTGTGTCTGAGACCCACCCAGTTAGAACACGTCAACTCACAGCTGGGCAGAGAGACTCGGATGCTCAGTGGTTCCTGATTTATTCCTGTTTTCTGAAACTTCTTTTGTGGCTCTAGAGAATTCCTAGTCTGGTCGCATATTTTTGCCACTTTCAGGCTGGTTGTTTTTTTGCTCTGGATATTACCGAAATTTGGAAAAATGACAAGCAGATGAATCCCAGGTACGTAACACGGTATTCCTGGTGTCAGGTTATTAAACTTCATAGCTCAGTGTTTGGAAAAACACGTTTATTTTCCATTTACTTATTCTGATATCGAGAACGTGAATCTCTCCTGAAGGCTATGATACAGTTTTTTGGTTCATTATCAGGGAGCATTTGACGCCACTTTGGGGACAGTTTGATTCGGGATCCCTTCTGCCTTCCTTCGCACCTTCTGTGTTCCTGGAGCACCAAGCTTCGGGCTGTCAACCCTCAGGCTCTCACCTGCGTCCTTCCTTTTGTGCTCGGTGTTCTGTGAGTTTTTCCTGAAGATTTGCTTGTAGAGGAGATGAGAGGAAAGGGAAGAAATGCAGATCTTGAGTTCTGCGCTCACTGTGGAGTAACAGAACGGCACACGAGTTGACGTGATGAACTTAAACGTGTCCGCACGTCCAAATATGTCTGTGCCAGTCATGTGATTTGGGAAGTAAAGTTTAAAACCTCAGTAAAGGTTTTCTTGTGTTGTAAAGTTAGCAAAAATGAGGTAGGAAGGATGGACGGATGCGTGGACAGATACATGATAGGTCGTTAGGTAGACGGGCAGGTAGGTAGTAGGTAGTAGGAAAGCAGGTATTTTTTACCAAAAGAGGAGAAGGATTTAGGGGGAAGGATCTCACCCAGTCTGTTTTGTTTTCTGCTCTCTTTCTTGCATTTCCTCTGTGGGTTATTGTTAATAGTAGCGGTTGTGGTGTTTTCTATGAAATGTGAACAGGTTTGAATCATTTTAAACTTTTGTGATTTTTTGTTTGTTTATTTTGCTTTTTTGCTTTTGAATTTCTGGCCAAGAACTAATTCAGTTTGTCTTAGGGCCTGGAGGAGAAGTAAGGAGACTTTCCCGAGGTGCCTCATCCTCATTAGGGTGTAAGCTGCTTTTCCTTGGTCAAGCAAAGGGCTTGAACTCTTCTTTAAGTGGGACAGACACTCAGCGTCCGCAGAACACATGGAAACACACCAGTGAATGGGGCTTGCCCTTTCTCTTCTTTTATTTCTACCCATGTCTTCTTTCAGAAGCAAGTGCCCCCCATGAAATAGAGTGTTATTCCTTCAAAATCCTGATGTCAAGATGCCATTCCCTGTGGAGAACATGTCTTGTCCCTTCATAGATTCTGATGTCCGTTCTCTGGTTCGTACTGTGGGTCCCGATGGTCGGGGACAGTACACATGCACCCATAGACGTGCACACTTCTGTGCGTCTGTGTAGGTAAAATGTGATAATGATATACAGTGTATTACATGTGTATCTATTCACCACGTGTTTGTGTCCGTGACGAGATACTGTATCCACGCAGCCCAACTCCACAGAACTCCACATACGATACATGTATGATGCAGGTGTTTAAGCACGTGCACGCATGTACGCATACATTGTCATGGGATTCATGGTGCTCACGTGTGGATGGGGCGGGTTACGTTTGTGGAATCCAGTTCTTCCCCCATAGCTGGGAAGGCTCTGCTGAGTGAGGGAGCTGCACGTGGGGCTCTCCGTGAACGTTCGTCGGCCGCGGTTCTAGAATTACACTTCATCTCTGTCCCTACCTGTGCTGGGGGCTGCCACCTCTCCAGTACACCTATTTAAAAAAGTAAGGCGTAGAAACAGGGTGTATATTGAAGGCCTGTTTGGGGGGAAACCCCAGAGAAAAGTACTTTTGGAGCAGAGGATATGGCCTCTGTGTTTTCTTCTGGGTGAGGTGCCAAGACGTTGGGGGAGAAGGCGGAATGTAAGTCACATAATCCTGTGAACCATTTGGAATGTGCATTTTTCCCTCTGCGCATGTATTACCATTTAATAAAATGTATACAGCCTAATCAACATTTTTGAATATGATATATTCATTAGTATATCCAATTTTCTCCTCACTTCAGCATTTTTCATTTTACTTCTGTCAGCATGGTGTTCAGTGAAGACACACCAAGCTCCAGTTGTGAGTGGCCTGGGAGGAGAACCATTTCTATTTATCCAAAGAATCACTGGAAATGTATTACAGAGTGGATAGTTTAACATTAGAAGGCTTTGCTTCTGAAGTTGTCTTGCTTTATAAATTCTCCCCGCCCTCTTTGGATGTTTTTTTAGTTATTCGTAAAAGTCAGAATCAGATCATCAGAATGCAAAGAGGCAATCTTAATTAGCCCGAGAGTCATGGATTTCATATTGCTAATAATTCACCATGGATCACGAAGCCGTGTTAATGCAGTTAAGTCATGGTGACAGGTGTAATTTTATGGATTAAGGAGACACTTGTGGTAGTGATGAATTCACAGGAAGGAGAGACGCTCTCTCATCTGAGTTGAAATACATCCTTCCCTTTCTAGAGAAGTTTGGTTGCTGAAAACCTTATCATCATAGTATTAACATATGAATGTTATCACAGCTCTGGGGGCTCTTGACTGAGTGTTGCCAGGAAGTAGTATGGAACAGACCAGAATAATAAATGCTTTGCCCATCAGAATGCATCTTGCATTTTTAGAACCTCACTCGAACAGCACAAGGTAAACTGAGACCAGTGTGTGACGGAAGCCATTTATTTTTTATGTACTTGCTGTTCTCTACATCGAGAAGTGTTTTCCCAAGTTTGCCACTGTTGCTGCATAAATGATTTTAGATGGTAACATAGACACAGGTTTGAATAAATTTGAATGACATTTGTTCCCATGGATGTCGGTTCTCCAGGAAGACTTCTGGTGGGAGTGCTCAACCTTGTCTGTACGTCTCTCCTTTGCCAGCAGATCGTAGACAGGCAAGAGTACACAGCTAGAATTTATTTTTTTTTTCATAATTATCATTTACTTGTTGTATAGGACACTGACGTTAAGCTTATCGTAGGTAATAAGTCTCGCTTTAAAATGTATATACTTCAAGAACATGAACTGCCATAAAAATAATAGATATTTCAAATAGAGACAGACATGACTCAAGTCATGACTGTGTATTCAAAGTGAAAATATTCTGGCATCAGTAAGTGTATCTGTAACTCTGTTAGGATTATTGGATTATTTAATTTTTAATGCAAATAGGAGTGACTGAAATAGAAGTTTATTTCTCTCTCACCCAGAAGCAGCCTGATATAGGCCAGAGCTGGTATGTTACCTCCCCAGCCCTTCGGGGTCCCAGGCATCTGTCCTTCTTGCCTGGCACACTGGTGCAGGGCTTGTGTCCTCACAGACTAAGATGACTGCTGGGGTGCCGGACATCACATCTGCCCTGTAGAAAAAGCTCTTCTCAGTTGGGTCAACTCCCTTCCAGCAACTTTCCTGGAAACCATGCCAGCAACCCCCAATTTCCTTTTGCGTCTCATCGGCCAGGACTCAGCTCAGTGGCTGCACCAGACGTCAAAGGCAAGTGGGAAACCTCATTGATGACAAACACTATTGTGTCCAGCTCACATCATTTTTCTGCTCCAAAGACAGAAGAACAGACCAAGTGGATCTGGCATCCCGAATCCTCTTTCTCAGCAGATTTTAAAGGGCAGATGCTGTGGGATTTCCAGTAGGATGATGAAAAGCACGTGGTACCTGGCGATCTCCTTCACTCGGCCAGCTCCTGGGGAGGTTTCCAGAGCTGTAGAAGGAATATGGGGTGGGTCGACCCACCTTAGCAATGCAGCAGAAACGTTGTGCACCTGCGAGAAAGTTAGGACAGAGTTTGTTCAGGTGTAGATGGGACTGAGCTGAAGGAGGGTGTCAAGGGGGTCAGTCCCAAGTGTGCGAGAGAGAGAGAGAAGGAGAGCCAGGCTGAGTGGAGACCCAGGCATGGAAAGCCAGGACCAGGTCCTGATGCAGACGGCGGGCTATGCACAGGTGCACATGAACACGCAGAGCCGACAAGGCTTCCTCTCCGGGAGCAGCAGGGTCCCTGCTTGAGGCCCCCCCCCCCCGCCCCGCCCCGCCACGGATGTCTGAGAATGCCACCTGAGAATGAACTCAGAGACAACACTGGAAAACCAGAGACGGGGCAGAGCTGCCTGCATGGAACAGAGATGGTTTTAAACTCTGATGAGTGTTCTCAGACTCGGGTCAGAAAAGATGGATCCAGGGGCGAGCAGGGCAAGCCACAAGATCAGGAGGATGGAGAGAAGCTGGAACGCAGTGACCGTCAGGTTCTGGGCTGTGGAAACTCGAATCTGCATAGCTGGGCAAAACCCTCAGGGGAAAGAAACTCCAGAAGAGAGCATGAGAAGTGGGAAGGAGGAGAGAACCCCCCCCCCAAAAAAACCAGCCAAACAAGAGTATAAACAGAATGA